CAGCGTTCCGTGCACCTTGGTGTTTAGTCATGCCGGCCACATGACCACGGAAACGTCTTCGGACAGCGCTGGCTCTTCGGCTTTGAAACGGAGATGAGCACCGCAACCCTAGAGTCGGACTCGACTGGCTTTCGAGCAAGGGAAACCTTTACCTTTAACCGCTTCTTATTACTAAGAAAGCCGACCATGAACAATAGGTCCCGAGGGATTCTGGGAAAGCCTCAGCCCCCCGCCCCCCAATCATCTCCTCAGCAAACGCCAAGAATCCCGTCTCAGTAGTTTTTGGTGACTTGGTATTTCCCGCCTTCATTAATATTACGCACCTTCATGAATATTTATATCTCCGCGGGAGGGAGAGGAAAAGAGGGGGCGGGACTACGGTGACAGCGGCGTTCTCTTCCCTCCCTCGCATGCCTGACCGGCCGTCGCCCCCTGTGACGTCATCGCTCGGGGCCGCGGCCTTTTGCCAGAAGGAAAAAGAGAGGGAGGCAGCGAGGATGGCGGCCGGGCCGACGCGGCCTCCCCGGCCTCGCAAGGAGCCGCAGCCGCTGGTCATTCCCCGGAGCGCGGCGGAGGAGCAACGCCTCAAACTGGAGAGGCTAATGAGGAACCCGGTAAGGGGCGGAGCGTATGGGTGGGGGGTGGGGCTACCTCATTCCCCCACAGCGGGGCTAGGAAGTAACACACACCGCAGTGATGGAAGATAAGCACTCCTCTACATCGGTTCCTCCTCAGCGGGGCTTTCTTGGGAGGAAGCATTGTGCTCCCCCCTTGATGTCTTGCACTCCGCCTGTTCTTGTTTCTTATCCTTATTTTGCCATATTTTTAATTGGTAAGAATTGCTAAAGTTCCTCTGGAGAGTCTCTAAAGAATTCACAGTGCAGTCGTAAACGGGGGTGCACCGTCTGAGCCCCGGTTCAGAAGAGAGCAACTTTTGTTTAGAATTTCACTGTGAAGCTGGTGGGAGTGAATGCATCCTGTAATTGTGTGCGTGTGAGTCAGTAAGCCTTTCTGCAATGCATTGCCTGCTAGATCATACTCCAGTGCTGGAAACTGTTAGCTGTTAATATATTTGAGGACGTTTGGGAGAGGGTTATAAGTTTATGATTCTTAAATTGGTGAAAGACTTATTTAGTAGGAGGGGACTTGGGCAGTGATTCCATGAGACTCAGGGTGTTTGTGTGTTCTTCTGTGAAATGTTGGAAGGTATGCCTTCTTGAGCACTTGCTCCTGGGGTGAAGGTTCTCATATCCTACCCTACTAAGCCCTTGTGCTGGGCAGTAGATGTCACCCCTGTTTTCCCATATCCAGTTTAAGTCCTTGTTCTTGGAATCAGCAAGGTATTCTAGTCTATGTCTTTCCCTGACCCTTGTGGAAGCTCTGCTTGGGGGTAGTGTGACCCTATGATTTACATAAAAAGAGTAGGCAGGAGCTCCTATAACAAAAAGAAGACAGCTACTGGAAGCAAAAGTTGTATTCTGAATGCCCATTGGTGTATTTTCAGTGCAACCCAATTTAAAGATAAATCCCACTTTAGTCACTGGGTTTTTCTCAGATAGATGTACATAGGATGGCAACAGTAATTTTTAAATAAAATATATATGTTTTCTTCTGTTAGCAAAGAGTCCCTAAATATGATCTTGCCATATTTACATAAATCTGTAATAGTAATTTGCATTTTATAGTGTTTATAAGTGTTCGAAATCTTTTGCATTAATTGTCATCCTTGTAGCAGCACTGTAAGGTAGGCTGCTATGATAACACACTAAACATGAAAAGATAAAAAAACTGCAAAAAGGCGATAAGAAAAAATACAGAACAATTTAGTAATGAGTAACACAAGTATAACTAATAGTAATACAACTAAGAATAACACTTAAGTAGTATTTACACAAATTCAACTGGTAAATCGTAGATTTTTTTCAGAATTGTTTTGATCTTTTCATGCTAGAACACCCCATGTTGTAGATGGAGGTGGGGGGGGCAGAGAGAGAGAAAGAGTGACTTCTCTAAGGGCGCTGAGTGAGTACATGCCAGAGAAGACATTTGAACTGGGTATCCTGAATCAGAACTCATTCTGTTAGCTCCTGTGTTACATCAGCTCATGATATAGTAAAGCAAATAAAACCTAGTCCATTTATTCTTCCCAGGGATTGTTTGTGAAGGATGGGGGGTGGGAGGATGACACAGCAGTGTACCCCCACTGTACTCACATACCATTTAGGTTTAGCACTTGTGCTAGTATGTAATTTAAATTGTGTAATTCCACCCTGAAAATATTGGGGGGGGGAGAGAATTCTCATCCTGTGTGGGAGGCTATCCCCTTGCAATCTCTTAAATACAATCTGAATAAATCTGACAGGTGGGAGTCCTGACTCCCTTCCCTTCTACCAGAGTCCCTGGGGATGGGAACAATTCAATTGGATCCTACACTTGTATAGAAGGAACCTGCTGTATATAGAAAGTGCATGTTAAGTGACTCTCCTGATTGTCTACATGCAGCCAAATGTCTAATGAGTACCTTTGCGTGGCGGGGGGAATCAGTTCTTTATCTTGAACCTTTCTGTTTAGATTCAGCTTTGAATATCTCTGTAAAACTGCTCTCTCCGTTGCGACCAAAGTGTCAAGATATTGTTCATTTCTTGTTGCAGGATAAGACTGTTCCAATCCCTGAAAAACTCAATGAATGGGCGCCACGTCCACCTCCAGAATTTGTCAGAGATGTCATGGGCAAGTTGCTATTTTAAGCTTTTTCTGTGCTAATGTGTGATGGAACCAGGATGTGAATTTGAAAGGGGGAGGAAATATGGGCTGTGATTTCTTTTTTCAGTGCTAGATGAGAGATGGGGTTTGAAACCTGAAGGTGATGTGAGGGAGGCAGGCGTTTGTTCTTCTAAATGTATGCAAAGCATCTAAACCCCTCTGGTTGTCAGGGAATTATTGCTATGAATCACTTGCATTTCTGACTTCCCACTCTTGAAATTACATGTGAGATTATGACTGTAAATGCTCAGATTCAGCAAAACAAATGATTCATGCTTCTAAAGCATGGTACGTCCAAACTGACATGAAGAGGAAATGAAACTGACCTGGGAACTTCCTTAGTAAACAAAGATTTGAAGCTGGGTGTCTTGGGGCTAGTGCCAGCACTGTGTGTGTGCAAGCACATGAATACATGCACACCTAACCATGACTGTACCATGGTTTAACTTCCTGAAAATCTCAAGTTTCTAGCCCTCATGACTGCAAAGGTGTGATTGAAAATGACTGGATAGTGTCTTCTGAGATTTCAGCAACCAGGGTGTGGTGGTGAGGGAAGGCTTCAATACACAGCATAATTCCTTGCTGATCCCCATAGCAAATGCATCCAAAATAAATTATTTGCTTATTGTACACCAGCAGCAGAATGCTGTTTTCCTTGACATGGGATTTGGATTGCCTGGGGTGAATTATTTTAGCTCTTGCGCACGATTGAATCAAACACTCTATTCCACTGGCATTAGATGTTGCCATTTGCCTAAAGTGTATTTTGAGTCTTTCATGATCATTGCAAAAGAACAAAAACAAAAGGAATGTGGCTGATGACCTTCACTTTCTCTTGTGTGCGCATGTGTAGAGAGAGAAAGGGAGAGAACAAGGCGTTCAGAGGAAAAGGGAATGGAACAGGGTTTCCAGGAGCCAGGCCAAATTGTGCTGCTATTTATTGGCTTTCCAAAGAGTGTCGCAGGGGATTCTCAAACCACTAAAAAGTACCGGCAAGGAACTTTTAGATTACACACAGCTTTTCTGTAGGCTATGTTGTCCAAAAGCCAGGAGCTGATGCTGGCACAGCAGGGTGAACGTGTTTGGAACCTAAGAAAGGGGAAGTTCAAAAAGAAGCACTGTTAGTTGGATTTCAAAGCATCTGGCATTGCTGTGAGTAGAGCAGAATGCAGATACACTTCTCCAAAAACAAGGTAGTGATGTAAAAGAAAAACTGCACGGCCTCTCTCCAGCCAGATCTGATAAGGACAGTTGTAAGAAAAATAATTAATGCCCAAAGCACAAGCTGTTGCTGTGTTCTCCTGGACATCTGGTTGCCCCCCCCCCCCCCCCCCCCCCGGCCACCACTGTAAAATGTTAGTAGCTGTTTTAAAGCCAGGCCCCATCTGCTTCCCCCACCTCCAGCTGCCCTCATCATTGTGCATCCCAAAGATTATGAACATACTCAGTTCTCATTGACCTTTTGGGTGGTTTCGTCTTTAATTTTCTGATACGTTCCCACATTCTTAAGTAGTCTTCCTCCCAAGTATGCGGAACCCCATACCTCGTCTCTAGTTGTCCCAGTTTTGCTCCCTTCCTGTTTTTGTTTGTGTCAGTCCTCATTGCAGAGGTGGGGTTTCTTTCTTTCTTTTTTTTACAACAACCCTTATTGGCATTATGCACTAAGAGGTATACAAAACATGAGTACTCAATACAGTTAACACATATCTCACTTTTTAGAAGCCAGATACAAAAAAGTTGCCACTATTTCAACAGTTACAGCATTTTTTTGTGGAGAAGAAAAAAGGACTTATAATTATCAGATTGGCCTGTTAAATCCATTAACAACCAATCTTAATACTTTGTGGTTAATTGCACGGACTCTAATCTGGGAGAACCGGGTTTCATTCCCCACTCCTCCACTTGCACCTGCCGGATGACCTTGGGCAAACCATAATTCTGGCACAGCTGTTCTTGAAAAAGAGCAGTTTCTGTCACTCAGCCCCACCTACCTCACAGGGTGTCTGTTGTGGGAGGGGGAAGGGAAAGGAGTTTGTAAGCCGCTCTGAGACTCCTTTGGGTAGTGAAGGGTGGGGTATAAATCCAATCTCCTCCTCCTCTTCTTCTTCTTAACACGAATGTCAGTATAATAATCACAATACAGAAGGACATGCCCAATGCTTTCTACTTCCTTTCTACCGCAATCACATAACCTCTGTGCGTAAGGAATCTTTGAAAATCTCCCTTGAAATACTGCAGAGGGCAACACATTAAAATGTGCTAACATATAAGCTCTATGAGTACATGGATCATTGAGGGAGAAAAAACATTTTGCTATCATCCCCACAGGAGGATTCCCTAATCTCAGGGGAGAACATGTACCAGAGGGGTTTCATTACCTTCTCTTCTTCCATACATGTTCTATGCTAGGAAGAAATTGCTGCTGTTCCGGTTTTCTCCAATGAGCGACTGGCCATGGGCTACCAACGGAGTCCTTGGCAGAGCAAAGGTTTTACCCCCACCTTTCTTAAGTTCATATTCATCATCTATCCTTACAGTGTAGGGTAAAGCTAAAAAGAAACAGTGCCCCTTTTTATCCCTGGCAGGTTCTAGTGCTGGAGCTGGCAGTGGGGAATTCCACGTATACCGGCACCTTCGGCGGAGAGAGTACCAGAGGCAGGATTTTATGGATGCCATGGCCGAGAAGGTCAGATGAATTTTCCTCAAACCGTTTTGGCTGAGAGTTGGGGGACTGTTTTTTTGTTTTCTGCTTTTTCCTCCAACAGAATGACACTCCTTAAACAGGAGGAATGCTCCTTAGATTTGGAGGAAGGCTTCAAACTTGAGCCCAAAGGAGAGGTGGGGCATAAATATTGGATTCAATAGACTTTGCTCGGTGGAGTGATAGGGAGGAAGAGGGCAGGATCCACCCTACTCTTTCCTGAGCAAATACAGTTCTAATTGTTATAGCTGCCTCTCAAATATCTATCTAGCAAGGACGTCCAGGCATTTTTAGCTAAATATGTTGTTGGGCTTAACCCTGCACGTGGGTCAAAAGGCAACTGAAAGAAACTTGTAGGAAAAATGCATTGCAAATGTTGAGAATTCTTGTGTGTGTACTTCATTTATAGTCCCTCTTTCTTGTTAAGGCTCAAGATGGCTTACAGAATTTGAGAGCAATGCAGTAAAGATCAGTATAGTGCATACAAAAGAGAAGAGTGATGTAAAAGTAGTATGATACATCCAACAAACAATATAATGGAGAAACATTTTCCACCATTAAAACAGCTCTGTTCCTATTCTAAAAAGTGCCCTTTTGATTGCTTCTGTTACCACCCTATTCCCTTTATAAGTGAAGTATTCTGGGAAGGCAATATATAAAGCTCACTTATATTGATCCCATAAAGTTTAGTATTGTATCTACTGAGCCTAGCAGCAGTTCTGCCATTTACTATGTGTCTACTTCTGTTTGGCTCAAGGAGCCATTTTTTTAAAAAAAACATTAAAGAATATGTTCTCATCAGTTTTGCTGAAATTTGTGTTTTTAACAGTATCCTCTGTAATGTTAACCCCCCCAACACATGCATTCATCTTTGTTCATTTAAATTCTAATAGTGATTTTGTATTAAAAGTTCTGGAAGATGGTGGAAAAATAATTTTTAAGAACCACTAAGATTTAAAGCGAGTGCAACAGTATATTCTGATTGTAACGAAAATATCCCCTGTTGTTGGTCACAGCAAAAACTGGACGAGGAATACCAGAAGAGGCTTGAAAAGAACAAAATAGTCGCAGAGGAACAGACAGCCAAACGTCGAAGGAAACGGTGAGGGCAAACTGCTCTTGGCAGAAGAACTCCGTTAGACCACAGTGATGTCAGTCAGTCCCCACTTTTATAAGTCTTCCAAAAAGATTGCCCCAGTCTTGCAGTTGAAATAAAGAGTGAAACATTTTGTTTCCTGAAATGGTTTGGGGATTCTGGAGAGGTTTGAGTGAGACTCACTGCTTTTCTTGCTCACATTCCCATATTGCTGGAATGCCAGGAGGGTGACTGGCAGTACCCTGTGGAGGAAAGGATGCAGTCCAGTATTCCCCAGTGCAGTGCTTGTAGGCACCATGGCACCTCCTAGCGTGCCTCCCAGTGCCCATGTGCTGCTTGAGTCTTATGGATAAAAGCCAAAGGGTTGTGAATAGGAGAAAGAACAAACAAACAAGGGTGATTTGGGTTAATTCTACCAGCTTGATTGATGAGCTAAACATTGAAGTTATTCCAGCGAGGTTCATCTCAGTCTGTGTACCCTTGGCTTGGTTGTAGTCACAGACTTCTTGTGGCCTTACAGAGCGCAAGCCCTCTCCTTTCTCTAGATACCAAATCCTGAACAGCATCTCTGCCACAAGGCAAAGAGCCCGTCCCAGCTTTCCTCCACCTCCGTGGTGCAGGAGGTGACTTGGAAGCAGTGGCTTTGGCTGTCTTGAACTGAACTTCCAATGTTTTGTGATTGCTGCTGCCCACGGCAGCCATTTTGTGGTGGAGTCCAATGTCTCAAAGTTCCAGAGTCTCCTGCAGGCTCACTGAGGTTTTAGCCAATGTGCTATTATTGGAGGGCCCCCATTAAGCAACTGTAAGGCTGCCGACATCTACAGTAACGGCTGTTTAAAAAAAGCTTTGGCTTCAGAGGCTGATGGAAGGAATATACTCATATTGCAGCAGAGGCCGAGAACAAGTGACTTGACTGAAGTGGCTTAACTGAAGCCGGCTAGTGAGTCCATGCCTGAGATGAGACTTGAACCGGCTGCCTCTTGGGTCACAGCTTATTCCCTTGGCCACCAGCCTACACTAGGAATGTATGATTCAGTGAAGGAGGGAGGATGGGAGGAGTCCAGTGCCTAGTGTTATTTATTTATTTATTTATTATTTTATTGTATTTCTATCCCGCACTCCCCCGCAAGCGGGCTCAGGGCGGGTTAGGTAAAGGTAAAGGTTCCCTTGCTCGAAAGCCAGTCGAATCCGACTCTAGGGATGCGGTCCTCATCTCCGTTTCAAAGCCGAAGAGCCAGCGCTGTCCGAAGACGTTTCCGTGGTCATGTGGCCAGCATGACTAAACACCGAGGCGCACGTAACGCTGTTACCTTCCCACCGAAGTGGTACCTATTTATCTACTTGCAATTTCTTGCTTTCGAACTGCTAGGTTGGCAGGAGCTGGAACTAGAGATGGGAGCTCACCCCATCATGTTACAACCAAACAAAACCAATTAAAATACAATACAATAGTCCGATTTAGAATCTGATAACATAACTCTCTAGATGGCAGTTAGTCAACAAAGTGTCTGAGTGAGTCGGTATGAATGCCCAAATGGAACAGAGAGTTGGGCAAGTGGGCATTAAACACCATCAGTAATATATCAACATGCAGATAGAGCGGGTTGGAGCAGGGGAGGCCAATGCAAATGGACACCCGCTGCCTCAACCAAAGGGCTGGCGGAACAGCTCCATTTTACAAGCCCTGCAGAACTGAAATAAGGGCATAAGATCCAAGTGGCAGCAAGAAGGATAGTATGGGCCTGGGACACAGAGATTGAGAGAGGCCGGGGCCTGGAAAGGTGGCTCAGTGGGGAGAGGCTAACCAGGAGTGTCTGTCCAGCAATCTACGGAGACTCAGTGGCGTAGGATTTTACAAGCCACAGTGCCTGACAGAATGGAGTGCCAAGTACTGGGAAGCAAAATACAATGTGAGGGCAAGGAACCAGGTCAAATATGTGTAATTTATGTTAATGTTTGTTGAGGGTATGAAATACCTCTAGCCAACCAAGATGTAATTCCCGCATAATCCTCTAGGTGGCTGCAAGTCCACCTTCCAGCAGTAAGTTCAGGTGGGTAGCTGTGTTGGGAACAAAATTTGAGTCCAGTGGCTCCTTTAAGACAAGCGTGGGGAATGCTACAAAGCTTGCCTGTAGCGTAGTGGCATTTACTATTAAGTATGCAACATTACCACTGAATGCCTCCCCACCTAGCCGAGGAAAAAAAGATGACTTAAGAACAGCACTCCAGACAAGACAACTTTATGTATATTTATGATACATGCAGGCACAGAAGAAAGAGATTCTGAAAAAAGTTCCACTTTTAATTTGAGCTCAGCAGAACCTGGGGGAGAAATCTGGGATTTTTATCATTGTGGCAATTTGACCACTGTCAGTCTTCTCCTGGCTCTTGGCGGCTATTGCCGATGGGGAGAAGGGACTTCCTAAAATTCCACAAGCCCTCCATTGCCCCCCTCTAGTTCAGAATGTCCCCCAAGATTTGTAGATTGCCCCCATTAGGCTCTAACCTAACACGAGAGCAGCTATCTTCTGGTAAACAAGGCAAAATAAAAAAATAGGTATGGAAGTTATTTGTCTTTCAGGACCTCCATCAGGGATGAAACAGGATGCATTCTGTAGCTTTAAGGATTATGTCTGAGGAACTGCACAGATTAGTGCCCTTTTAAAACAAAGAATATTTTAACACACGCATAATTTTTTAATATATATTTAAAAAACTTCCTTGCTTTCTTTATAGTCAAAAATTGAAAGAGAAGAAATTACTGGCAAAGAAGAGTAAACTTGAACAAAAGGAAGAGCAAGAAGGTAATGTGGATGTATGTTGGCCTGAGTGCATGTGGCACCATCCAAAGAGAAATTCCAGTGGTGCAGTAGAAACTGAGCATCTGCAGAATGTGCCTAGGAGAAGGGGGTTTCCACGCAAACCTGAAGCAGATTTATACCCTTGTAACTCCACTGAAACTTCGAATCGCCCCGTTTGAGAGGGTATCTTGCACAGCAGTGCTTGGGAGTTGTCAAGGTGGTCATAAACAAATGGCAGCCTATCTCTTGAAGAGAAGTAGGTGTTGGGAGGTTCTAAGGACTCAGGACAGCAGAAGCAGAGGAGTAGCTGCCACCATCCTAAGGAGCGGCAATTCTCAAATAACCGCAAGATGGAGCAGACAGAATTGTAGTTGTCTATAGAACACACTCCTAGTTCTGGCTGCTTGAGACGAATGGAGGACTGTTGGTTCAAACTCTTGGCACCACGAAGATCAGATCAAGCGTGTGCCCAGCCTGGTGAATGGGAGTCGTTACATATTGGGAGAGTCCCAGCGCCACCACGAATGACACCAGGTCCATTGTCTGAGTAGAGGCTGGTCTTATTATTTATAGACCTGGCATTGTACAACGCCCATGTCGGGGGGGGGGGTCAATCATCCTAGCCCCACTACCTACAACCTTTGGGGTGGGACGCAGGCTGGAAGGGGGCTGAGCTACTCTACTTCTCCGTCCCCTTCTCTTATCTCCATGCCTAGTCCCACTGCTGTACTTCCCCTTCCCCAGGAGCACTGGAATCCCCTGCCTGGTCATCATCGTGCCTAGTGGTCTTTGCCAGCTGCGGACCAGCTATGAATCTCAGACCAACTAGGAGCCTCAGATCAACCAACTATAGTCCTTTAAACAGCTGTTGTTAGCTCCCAACAAACTCCTGAATTTGGTATAGAATCGTAATAATCAATTCTATTACGCACCCTCACAATTTAACCAAGTAGCCTATGATTGCCTTTTTTAAAGCTCAATTTAGACAGTGATTTAAATAAAGGCTAATGCATATCAATGGCAAATTCATTTCAAGCAAACCAGATAACCTCTTGTTAATTAATTTGTTAATTTAAATACCAAATCAATTAATTAATCAATTTATCATTTTCAGAGGGTAGAAGGAGCATTTGTGCCTCAGAATCCTCTGCCTGCTTGCAAGTAAAAGGATTTGGGGTGTGTGGGGTGTGATCTTTCTGGATCAGAGCAGAGATCCATCTAGGGCTACAGTGGGCAACCAACTGCCTCTTGACGCTCCTAAGCCAACCTCGAGGTACACCACCTCTGAATGTGGAGGTTCCATTTAGCTATCATGGCTAATTGCTTGTGCTCTCCGTTTCTTTGGGGGGAGGGAACCATTCATTTTGATGGGGAGCCATTCAGAAGTGGTCTGAAAGAGGATTCTGGGGTTAGGATTTGTGGGGAGGGGGGCACGGGGAAAGGGCCACATATTCAAAGCTAACATCTATTTCTACATCTTTTCCCGTGCCTTGTACAGCTGCCAATTCTGACAGTTCTCAGAAGCAGCAGACCAGTGAAGAGGAGGAAGACAGAGACGCCTCCGAGGAGGAGAAAGAGGATGATGCGGAAGAGGCCAGTTTTGTGATGGGGAGATGATGGTGCCAACTCTGCAGTGGTTTTTCACTTGCTGTCGAGGAGCCTGGATGGAGCCTGGAATTTGAGCTCAGCAGACTTCATGGTGCTGCTCTGCATCTTCGCCACGGCAGAAGTGGGGCCATAAGAACCCCCCGGGGAGTTGCCCTTAGAGCCGAGCCAGACAGAAGTTCCTTCCAAACTTGCTTGTGTAACTGCTGTGCAGCCTATTACAGGGATCCTGGGGAAAGGCTACCCACGTGACCTCTCCTCGTCTTCCTGGCGTCACTCCAAATTGTTGTCTGTCTGAAAGCCAACGTTTTATCCATCTGTGTCAGGCAACCCCCTCCCTGAGCGACCTGAGTACACACACGAGTTTAAGCGACAGAGCGTGGAATAGGAGTCTGAAGCAGAGGAAGTGTCCGGACTCCTCCATGACAGGAGAGAGCAAAATGATTTGGGAGTTTCCACTAGGCTCCTCTTGAGCCCTTGTGGTGAGAAGTGGTTCACCAGGATGATAAAAAGTTTGCTCTTTTCATTGCTGAAATGTGCTGTATACTTTGGTCCTGAAGAGTTTCTGGGAATAAAAAGGAAAACCTTTGAGCGCATGTGTGCCTTTTTGCTGTGTTGAAAAGAAATCTGGGGGAGGGGAAGGCCACCAGTCGCAATTAGCCTTGAGAGCTGAATAGAATCTGTTTGAACACGCTATGCTTGTTCAATGCTATGCTTCTGAATGCAATCTGTGGCATTGTCTGCTGCTTATGAACCCCTTCTTGGGGCATCTGGTTACCCAGTGCTGGAAACAGAGTACTGGGTTAGGTGGACAGCACAGGAATTCTGAAATTACTGTAGTCTGTTATTCTTCCTTTTTTCGTCCTTCAATCTCAAAACAAGTGTGATTAGGGTTGCCTGGTCTTACCTTGGCTGGAGCAGGGGACTTTGGGGGGCATTCTGGTGGTGGGTGAGAACATTACAGGTGACGTCGTCATGCTGGGGACATTCTGGTATTTGGGCAAACTCTATGGTTTTTTCAGCCTCAAATCACGTGACATTCCCGGTGCAATGACATCATTTCTGGGTGATGTCATCACATCGGGGATGTCACATGGTGACGTCCCTGTTTGGGGGTGGGGCTTCCCAGCGGGCTGAAGCCCTGAAAATTGGGTTTCCCAGCACCGCCGGGGGAATAGCAACCCTAAGTGTGATCCTTACTGGCTGAACTGAACTAGAGAACGATTATGAATGCTTCATAATGGAAAAAGGCATTTGGGTGGTTATATAAAAACAAGCAGCTTTGTCAGTGGGGATCCTGGGGAAGGAAGCATGTTTTCTTCAACATGGAATAAAATGAGAATCCCATACGATAGCCTCCTCGATGCAGGGAAATTGTCTGATTTTAATTGGGCTTTTTTTTGTTGATCTTGAAGGTGCTACTGGACTCGATTTTTGTTCTGCTACAGACTAACCTAGCTAACCATCTGAAACTAAAGAATAAGCAGAGACAGAAGGGGGGGGGGCATTTTCTACTAATTACCTTAACTGTTGAAAATATTTTTTTCACCATTCAACCTAGTTTCTTTTTTGATGGACGAGAGTCCACTGATTAAAAATATTTACCCTGCATTTGTTAATACCTCAGGGCAGCTTGCATTGAAAAGAAAACATACCATTAGTCTTGGCTAGGGTTTCTTTGCAGCAAAAGCAGGTCATCAGTAGAGCACATCAGTTCTCATGGTTAAATTTGCTCAAAGCAGCTGCTGTCGTATTTGTTCCTTAAAATGTTACCAGTGATGACTCTTTGGGGACAAGCTCTATTTAAAAAGATGGCAGAGCTTGGAAACAGAACCCCTGGTGCCCAATCCAGTTTTAGAACTGGCTGACCTGGCTGGAAGGGAGCTTTACTTGAATTACAAACATCATATCGTTTCAGAGAGTAGCCGTGTTCATCTGCAGTAGATTCGAGTCCAGTCGCACCTTAGACAACACCAAGGTTTTGGGGGTATCAGCTGTTGAGAGTCTAAGCTCCCTTTGTTAGATATGAAAATTATATACATAAGACAGGGATGTCACTTAAAATGACTTGTATTGTAAATAAGAAACTCATTTAAAAGCTAGAACAATACAGGGTGGTTTTTAACTATCAGTGACAATTGTGGAATCAATACAAGTAAGATTATTTCAAGGAATCCCGTTTTGTTGGGGATGAAGTTTCAAGTTGTTAGTGCTCAGCTGTTCCAAAACTGCCTCCAGGCACCTTTTCCTAGTTTCCTCGGCCTCCCTGTGGTCTGCTGGAAGCATGAGATAAGAGTTCAGGGTCATCTGCGTATCAGTGGTAAAGGTAAAGGTTCCCTTGCTCGAAAGCCAGTCGAGTCCGACTCTAGGGTTGCGGTGCTCATCTCTGTTTCCAAGCCGAAGAGCCAGCGCTGTCCAAAGATGTTTCCGTGGTCATGTGGCCGGCATGACTAAACACCAAGGCGCACGGAATGCTGTTACCTTCCCACCGAAGTGGGAAGGTATTTATCTACTTGCAATTTCTTGCTTTCGAACTGCTAGGTTGGCAGGAGCTGGAACTAGAGATGGGCGCTCACTCCATCATGCGGCACCTGGGTCTCGAACTGCTGAATTACTGACCTTTCACAGCCTGCAGTTCAGCATCTTAACCACTTGAGCCACCGCAGCTCCTATGATCTGATTACACATAATGTTTTAGCTTGAAAAGAGGACAAATGGGAGGAGGGGTAACAATGCTTTTTAAATCACATGGTCTTGAAAAAGTGGAGAGAAGGTTCTTCCACAGTACTATAACTCAGCGCCGGCGCTCCCCCAGGTGAGCAGCATTTGATTTTGGACACAGATACTTGTGGCAGCTACCTCAGATAGCTTCAAAAGGAGATTAGCTAAATCCATGGATGTCTCTCTCTGGCTTTTAGCTGTGATGGAAAAGGCCACGTCGGGAGCCAAAAGGAAACTTAACACTGGGAGTTTGTTATCGCCCACCAGATCAAAAGATAGAGGAGGATTATAAAATGATGAATGCCTTAAAGATAGCAGCTAGACAAAAACACTGTGTCATCTAGACACTCTAAATGACTGTGCTATGGAGCAGATGGTCACGGAACCTACCAGGGGAGAGGCGATCCTTGATTTGGTCCTAAGTAACACTCAAGACCTGGTGAGAGATGTAAAAGTGATTGCACCACTTGGAAACAGTGATCATAATGTTGTTGAGTTCAACATTTGTACAAATAGAGAAGTGGCCAAAAAGACTCACACAACCATTTTTAACTTTAAAAGGGGTAATTTCTCTGATATGAGGGGACACGTGGGGAGGAAACTGAAAGGAAAAGTAGAAAGAGTCAAAACCATTGGGGAAGCTTGGAAACTATTTAAAACTACGATCCTAGAAGCTCAAAAAATATATATTCCGCAGGTTAGGAAAGGCACAAACAGGTATAGGAAAAAGCCGGCATGGTTAACAGAGTAATAGAAGCTATAAAAAGTAAAAAGAATTCCTTTAAGCAGTGGAAAGCTAGTCACAGTGAGGCTGATAAAATGGAACACAGGCTATGGCAAATAAAATGCAAGTCTGAGGTCAGGCAGGCAAAAAGGGAATATGAGGAGCATATAGCAAAAAACGTAAAAACCAACAATAAAACTTTCTTCAAATACATTAGAAACAGGAAACCAGCCAGGGAGGCAGTGGGGCCCTTGGACGACCAAGGGGTAAAAGGAGTATTGAAGGATGATAGGGAAATGGCTGAGAAGCTAAATGCATTTTTTGCCTCCGTCTTCACTGTGGAAGATGAGAAGTGCTTGCCCACTCCAGAACCACTGATTTCAGGAGGGGTGTTGGAAGACCTGAGTCAGATTGAGGTGACGAGAGAGGAGGTCCTAAAACTGATAGACAACTTAAAAACTGAAAAATCACCAGGCCCAGATGGCATACATCCGAGAGTTCTGAAAGAACTCAAATGTGAACTTGTAGATCTCCTGACAAAGATATGTAATCTTTCCTTAAAATCTGCCTCCATTCCTGAGGATTGGAAGGTAGCAAATGTCACTCCCATCTTTAAAAAGGGTTCCAGAGGAGATCCGGGAAATTACAGGCCAGTCAGTCTGACGTCGATACCGGGTAAATTGGTGGAAACCATTATTAAGGAAAGAATTAGTAGGCACATAGATGAACAAAACCTATTGAGGCAGACTCAGCACGGTTTCTGTAAGGGAAGATCTTGTCTCACTAACCTGTTAGTGTTCTTTGAGGGGGTGAACAAACATGTGGACAAGGGGGATCCAATAGATATTATTTACCTTGACTTCCAGAAAGCTTTTGATAAAGTTCCTCATCAAAGGCTCCTAAGTAAGCTCAAAAATCATGGGATAGAAGGACAAGTCCTTTTATGGATCAAAAACTGGCTAGTTCATAGAAAACAGAGAGTGAGTGTAGGTGGGCAATTTTCTCAGTGGAGGGTGGTAAGCAGTGGGGTACCGCAGGGATCAGTACTTGGTCCACTGCTTTTTAACTTGTTCATTAATGATTTGGAGATGGGAGTAAGCAGTGAAGTGGCTAAATTTGCGGATGATACAAAGTTGTTCAGGGTGGTGAAAACCAGTGAGGATTGTGAGGCACTCCAAGGGGATCTGTCAAGGATGGGCGAGTGGGCGTCAACATGGCAAATGGGGTTCAATGTGGCCAAGTGCAAGGTGATGCACATTGGAGCCAAAAATCCTAAATATAAATACACATTGATGGGGTCTGAACTGGCAGAGACTGAGCAAGAGAGAGATCTTGGAGTTGTAGTGGATAACTCACTGAAAATGTCGAGACAGTGTGTGACTGCAATAAAGAAGGCCAATGCTATGCTGGGGATTATTAGGAAGGGTATTGAAAACAGATCAGCCAATATAATAATGCCCCTATATAAATCAATGGTGAGACCTCATTTGGAATACTGTGTGCAGTTCTGGGCACCACACCTTAAAAAGGATATTATAGCTTTGGAAAAAGTGCAGAAAAGGGCAACTCGAATGATAAAAGGGTTGGAACACTTTCCCTATGAGGAAAGGTTAAAGCGCTTAGGGCTCTTTAGCTTGGAGAAAAGACGACTGAGGGGTGACATGATCGAGGTTTATAAGATTATGCATGGGAAAGAGCAGGTAAAGAAAGAGGTACTTTTCTCCCTTTCTCACAATACAAGAACTCGTGGGCACTCCATGAAACTGCAGAGCGGTCGGGTTAGAACGGATAAAAGGAAGTACTTCTTCACCCAAAGAGTGATTAACACATGGAATTCACTGCCACAGGAAGTGGTGGGTGCTACAAGCATGGACGGCTTCAAAAGGGAATTAGATAAGCATATGGAGCAGAGGTCCATCAGTGGCTATTAGCCACAAGGTATAGCTAGGGGCTCTGGGGCAAGTGATGCTCTGTCTTCTTGGTGCTTGGGGGGGGTCAACAGTGGGAGGGCTTCTAATGTCCTGGCCCCACTGGTGGACCTCCTGATGGCACTGGTATTTCTGGCCACTGTGTGACACAGAATGTTGGACTGGATGGGCCTTTGGCCTGATCCAACATTGGCGTCTCTTATGTTCTTAACCGGCACAGAGGCCCAAGCTTCCCCTGGTTGCTGGCTGGCCCTCAACAGCTGACGCTGCAGGTGTATGCGCTCGCGCATGCCATGTGTGCATGCACAGCACACCCGTGCATTTTTCTCACTCCCCCCCAAACCCCCCCCCCCAAACACCTGATTCATTCTATCTCACGCGTATTTCTCTCTACCTGAAGGGTTTAAAACTCTAAGGGGGAAAAACCAGATCGGAGCATTCTGCCTACCGCGCAAAAGACTGAGATAGGGAAGCAACGAAACGAAACTCCACGAACGAAGGCTACACACGCGATTAAAATACATTTTCAAACGAGTGCCCGACCCTTCCTCCCTCAGCCGCCCTGAAGCACCACCAGCTTTTCGCATCACCGGCGAGAAAGGGGCGTCGCCGCGGTCTGGGTGTCACGTGACGGGCTGCTCCCGCTACTACGGCCGGTCAAGGCGGTCACGTGACGGGGCCCTGGCGTTGCCTTGGCAGCGGCGGAGGCGGCGGGCGGGTCGGCCGCAGTGGCTGAGGCGGCTTCTCAGACCGTTGGCCGGAGGAGGCGCCGCCTGCTGCTCCTGCTGGCGCTGCTGCTCCTGCTGGCGGGGTAAGTAGAGGCGGCTGAGACAGGGCAAGGCAGGGCAAGCAGGGGCGGCGGCGGCCAGGATGGAGCCCCAAAGATAGCAAGGGGGCGGGGGGAGTGAGGTGTTTATTTACGCATAATGAGGTAAATAGGGCGTGTCCTCCGCCTACTTTCGGTGGGGCCAGGGCTGGGCAGCGTGTGGGGTTGGCAGCCTCTCGCGGCGAGGTACGTGTATCTCTTATAAATGGCAGGGGGCTGTATTGTAGTACACAGTGGTGCACGGGGATGCTTTAATAAAGGGAACGGGCCTGCGGGTTACACTGGTGAGTGTAGCAGATATCATCGGCTTGCCTGGTGTCCGTCCCCCCCCCCCCCCACCACAAATTTAAATTTTTTCGAACGTATCGCGTCTAATACTTACGCTTTGTTTCAGTTAATCCTAATCCTGTTACTTTGCTTATCGGATGCCTTATTCTATTAATTGCGCTGAGTTGACGTTGTGTAATCCACCTTGAGCCTTGAGGAGAAAGGCGAACTATGAATAATGTGAAATGAATAAATATAAAATAAGATCAAGATCAGTGTTCCCTCTAAGCTGAGTCAGTGTGAGCTAGCTCACAGTTTTTTAGCCTCTGGCTCACACATTTTTGTCTCCGCTCAGGAAGGAGGGCTCCGGAGCAAACCAATTTATGCAGCAGCCAAATCGCTGGCTCACAACTTTAATGCCAGTAGCTTGCAAAGTAGAATTTTTGCTCACAAGACTCCACTGCTTAGAGGAAACATTGATCAAGATGGGTAGCCGCAAGATAAGCGTATACAGAAACTTAAGCAAACTTATAGAAATTCTTTAAATATGGTAATGGAGTTATAAGAAAATATACTGATCTCTTTGTATGTTTTATGTGTGTAAGTGGATGTTTGTTACGCAGTATGTTTGTTTGTTGGTGTATAATATGAAAAATAATGAAAGTGTACCTTATGGGTACTTAAAAAAAAAGATGGGTAGCCGTGTTAGTCTGTAGCTGTGGAAAAGAGCAAGAGTCCAGTAGCACCTTAAAGACTAACAAAATATGTGGCAGGGGATGAGTCACTGCTCACTTCTTCAGATACCTGCAACACCTTTTTGTTAGTCTTTGAGGTGCTACTTGACCCTTGCTCTTTTCTATAAAATACATGATTTATGAAAATAGATTCAAGTGGGGTAACTGTGTTGGTCTGAGGCAGCAGAGCAAAGTTTGAGTCCAGTGGCACCTTTTAAGACCAACAAAGTTTTAAGTTCTATTCATGGTATAAGCTTTCATGTGCAAGCACACTTCATCAGATATCTGATGAAATGTGCTTGCACACGAAAGCTTATACCATGAATAAAACTTTGTTGGTCTTAAAGGTGCCACTGGACTCAAACTTTGTTCTGTGGTTTATGAAAGTATGTATTGCATGTATGGTTGCTTTTAATGCATTTTATGATATCATATAATGTAAGGTAATACATGTAATGTATGCAGCATATATAAGGTACACACACATATTATTTGGAAGATGTGTATCCTGTTTTTCTCATAAAGTCTATGTGTATGTATGTGAATGAGTGCATCCCTTTATCTCTCTCATATATGTGTAATATTCAAAAGTTGTTAAAGGCATAAACACATTGTAATTAAAAAAACAAAAGGTTGACTATTGCCTTCAACCTGGTTGGTCCCTTGTGCGATGAATGGTATCTGTTTTGCAATGAAAAATCTATCCACTGCATTTTTAAAACAAAAGGCTGGTGGCACCATAAGGACAAATGACTTTTACTTCAGTATGAGCTTTCGTGAGTCACTGCTCATTTATCCAGCCTTTCTTCCAAGTAGCTCAGGACATTCCGTTTTATTCTCACAGCAACCCAGGAGGTAGGTTAGAAGAACAACTGGCCCAAATCACCCAGTGAACTTCGTGGTTGAGTCAGGATTTGGATCTGGGTCTCCCCGACTTGCAGTGCTGCACTGGCTCTTATTTTCTGAGTGTACGGTGACATAATCTAACATGAAAATAGACATGCACAAATATGCAAATAGTGTGGAAGAACCGTGCTGCATTTAGTGTGTTGAAGGCTCTTTCACAGCACATGAGTCAAAACCTAAGAATTTCTAAGTCTGAGATTAGGGTGTTCGGGTTTTGTTTATGTCTTTATAATGTTTTGGCCCACTTTTCAGCAAATATTGGTTCACAGGAACCAGAATCTGATTCAAAATGTTCAGTACAAAATAGGTAGCTGAACGTATTGCCTTCTTAAGGCTTTGCCTTGCTAACAGAAGTCATAGTAGATTCAGGTGGGTAGCCATGTTGGTCTGAAGCAGCAGAACAAAGTTTGAGTCCAGTGGCACCTTTAAGACCAACAAAGTTTTATTCACGGTATAAGCTTTTGTGTGTACGCACACTTCTTCAGGTACAGTGATCTTGGACCAGCCACACACTCTCAGCCTACTTTACTGGGTTGTTGTGAAGATAACATGGAAGAGAGGAGACTGATATCAGCCACTTTGGGGAGAAAGGAGGGATATAAATAAAATAAATAAACAAGAAATAAATTTAAATCATTTTACTTCATTTATCATCTGCCTTGTTCACTGAGACTCAAGGTGGATTTTTTTTTTTGCCGTCAAGTTGCAGCTCACTTATAGTGACCCCCTAGGGTGTTCAAGGCAAGAGATATTCAGATGTGGTTACTGGTTAGCTATTGCCTACCTCTGTGTAATGACCCTAGACTTCCTTGAAGGTCTCCCATCTGTGTAGTAATCTGGGTTTACTGTGTTTAGCTTCTGAGATCTGATGCAATCAGCCAGGTCAGAATGATAAAACAATGCAATGAAGACCAGTAAGTATATAAAATAAATGATACAATAAAACTGGGCTGCACAGAGAATTTTTTTTAAGTATAATGCAACTGGGTCCTGACCTGGATAGCCCAGGATAGCCCAGTCTTGTCAGATCTCGGAAGCTAAATGGGTTCAGCCCTGGCCAGTATTTTTTAATTATTATTTATTGCATTTTTACCCCGCCCTCCCCGCGAACGGGCTCATTTGGAAGGGAGAGACCACCAAGGAATACCAGTGTTGTGATGTGTCTCTTTCCTTGAAAACCCTGGGGGGGTCGCCATTGACGGCAAAGCAAAAAAAGCAGCGGGATGACACAAAATTAGAAAACAATGAAAGAAAGACCATATCATACATCCAGTAAACATTGCAGTATAAAGAATCTCTGTTTGAACTAGCGGGGTCTGCATCCTCCAGGGGTTCAGCCACTCTGGAAACCAGGCAATTGAGTGCAAATATTTGAAAACTATCCCAAGCAATTAATTTCAGGAGGGAACAGGGGAGAGCCTGTGTGCAGGCAAGAATGTTTTCTTCCGTCCTCCTTTCGCTTGCTGAGATCTAAGGCTCTCCCTCCCGCTGGGTCTGAAGCCCAAGAAGACAAACAAGATCAAAGCCGGCATCGTCCTGGTGCTCGCAGAGCACTTCCCTTCTCCAGAGTGCTTTGCTGACATGAGCTGTGGCCAGAAAGCGCTTGCCGGCGCAACGCCCACCAAAAAAGCCCTGTAGAATTACAGCCAGGTTGAACTTAACTGAGGCTAAATTGCCAGAAATAGGGTAGGTATTATTTCCCAGTCGGTTTAATAATTTGCAGTGAAGTCGTCCTGTGGTTTTTCTTCTCACAACTGACCGGCCTGCGCCAGGTAAAATTATTTCCCAGTCGGTTTAATAATTTGCAGTGAAGTCGTCCTGTGGTTTTTCTTCTCACAACTGACCGGCCTGCGCCAGGTAAAATTATTTCCCAGTCGGTTTAATAATTTGCAGTGAAGTCGTCCTGTGGTTTTTCTTCTCACAACTGACCGGCCTGCGCCAGGTAAAATTGCCTCTTCGTGCGAAGGGAGGGGGAGGGGCACAAGGGTAGTGTTGTTGAGTGTAACTATGATTGAAGAATAGTTATTTAGATCCTCCTTCTAGGGGCAAATTCAAGTATTCCTCTTCGTAAAATCATTTACGTGGAGGGAAAAGCGTAAAACTTGCTCTGTAGGCTGTCGCGTACAGTGCTGAAAAACATGACTTTACTGTACGTTTGTGTTGTGTGAATGCCCTGGGGAAGCCATGGTGAGTGGTGACTTCTCTCTTTCTGTGTTCATACTTTGAAATTCATACTTTGAAGGTCTATTTTGGTTTATACTATGCCCTATTCAAAGATTTGGGACAAACCAAAAGACAACCGGAGGGGTGCACTCCAAGAATCTAGTAAAGTAAAATAAAATGCTATCAAATCCATTGAAAATTCTCAAGCCGCTGTTGAAGTTTCTGAAGCCTTTAAACATGATTCCCAAAGGCTAGTCCATGCAGTTTGTTCTTGCGGTGCTCACAAAAGGTGCTCAGGTTTGGACTTTGCAGAGTCTCCAGTAGAATGGTTCTCGGCCAGTGGGAGCATGAAAAGCAATGTTTTTCTCACTTTTGGTGGATGTCCAAGATGGTAAACAGGGCACATGGGAGGACGCTATGTTGCTATGTTGGACAGGAGGTATTTAGTACTTTATAGGTTATCCAGAAGTTGTTCCCAAAAGACATTGGGGCTGTGTGTGGTGTTGTCAAGGTGTGTTCTTTGAAAATACTAGGTGGAGGTCTGATACGTGACAGCACTAACACCAGTGTCCTACAGGTATCTTAAGCAGTGATGGCTCACAGAGTGGCTTGTGTGGGTGCAGTTAGAGAAGCATTAGTGTAGACTTTGAGGGTTCAATAACGACACAACACAACAGATTTCTTGAAGCTTACTGACCAGGCTCTCTGTCAGCTCTCTCTCTGTACCAAAAACTGTTTTTTGACTGCCTGTCAGAAGCGCTTTATTCAGAGAAAAGAGCCAGCTCACACATTTCTCCCCCCGGCCTTGTACAGTGAAAAAGCTACAAGTGAAAGACTCTAAGCTCGAGTCACAGTGTGTTCTTCACAGAATATTCTCATAGCTCACATTATCTTGCCCAAATGTAGCAAAGTTTG